CAAAGATTAAAATATTTACTTATCTCATCGCATTTGCGAAATATCATAAACAGCGATTTTTGACGCACGGATCAAAATCGTCCTCATATACTGGCAAAATGTGTATGTCACAGCGTACGCAGGCACATACGCTTCGTGGCGAGAAATCTCTATTTGAATTTTAAACGAGCTCAAAGCAGATTAAAATTTCACACACATTGCCCGTGCAAACCCCTTCGATGCGTATATTGTGTTCTTTTTCTATAGACACGTATAGGTTGCGACGTCAAACGACACCCTGCCACCGTTCCGCGGCATGGGCTAGCGCATATCGGCGCAGGCCTTATCACCGGGTATTTGGGTTTTAAAAAAAAACCGACCTAAAATAACAAATGCGTGTGACAAAAAAGCATCGAGCGGGCGGCGGATTTAAGCTGGCACGTAGCCGCAAAAAGAGACGAGATCAGACTACTGCGTGTCTGGACAGGCAATATCGCGCTTGCTTGTATGCTTGCGTGTGCGTGTGCGTGTGGGCTGGACAACGAAAAACGCATCGCTGCGATCGCGTATAATCGCGCGCGCGCGCAAGAAGAAAATCCCTGTGGCAATACGGCGACGATACGAAAATACTTGGCACGCGTCGTCATTCGATCTATGGGCGATTGATCCGCCACGCGTCACCGTATTATATTATACAACAGCGTAATCAAGCGCTCGAGTCGAGCTCTAATACGAGTTATTTATAAACGATTTCAACTCAACATGCGATACAAGCCAATCCTTCGCGCGTCCGCAAATTTTGACAGGATTTGGCCAAAAGAAGCGCGGCCTGATACGTTTCTCATGTGGTGAAATTGAAAAACGAGATTACCCTCGCGGCGCTTTTGCCGGCCGGATTCCCGCTACTGTCGATCATACGCGAAATTCGACAATGGCCGAGAAGATCGATCGGCCGTGTGTGCGCGCGACACGCGCCCGGAGATGAATTTTCAATGGACGAGATATATTAAATTATATATTTCGGAAGATGAGAAAATCATGAGGCGTTAAAGCGCTACACCGTAGTCCGCGCGCGAGCATATTGCGTGACAGCTTAATCGATCGGTCTTCGGCATTTTAAAATTCATTATACAGCTCCACTTGCCTAGAATAATTCAACAAAGTTAAACAAATTTCGCTGATTTTGTCAACGAAGCGTCAGATTCCGAAATCATGGACGAGTGAAAAAATTAATCTTCGGGCGTGGAGCTTTGTCGAAGTAGCCCTCGCACGATCGAGCCTTTCTTGACTACCGCGTCCTGCTCGCCCGAGAAGATTATCCCCTTGGCAACCGCACACATCCTGATCTGACTATATTCATACGTAAAATACATATACATCCCTCAGTAATTTCATTTCACGCTCCACGACGCAGTCCACGTGGTACAATAATATTATAGAGTGGAGTTTCGTGTTTACCTATCTTACAGATATATGTGTGCACGTTTGTGCTCCGAGTATGTGTATATTCCGTCCTTATGCTGATGCATGTACCACATCCGAAGTTCCAATGATGCTAATGCGTCGCATATAATAACAGCTGAATATGCCAAAGTTTCATAGTTACGATCATTGATTTTAAAAACAATAACTAACTTTTTCAAGCATCAAGTTGAGAAATGCACAGCATCACCTTGTTAAAGTCAATGAAACAAAATACACAATAAGAAGATGTAAAAAAGGAGCTTAACGATTTTCATTTAGATTACGTTACCCTCGCGTCTCTGAGGCATATTATACTCGCGGTATATGCTCGTAAACCGCAATAATTGGCCTCTAATAAATCGTGCAAGCACAATGAAAGCCTCCAAAGTGCCCTGCCGCTTCAACGCTTATTCGTCGCAGGATTCTCTGCGCGGAGCTGCTCTGCCTAGGCGTCTGTAATGATGACGAGGCAGGTGAAGCGTCATCTGAACATTTTTTTCGCTGATCATTTCTTACTTTATTCGTGCTCCTTTTTATTTCCTTATTACGTGTGGCAGGGATTTCTGGGGGGTAGTCGAGGCTTCTTACCTCTGCTGGTGTATTCGCAGCTACAGCCGTGCACACGATTCGAGCGGATTTGGCCTGTGCTCGTGTGCAGGGGTGCACGCCTGCGTATAATAAGTTGTGAAACGAAACCAAGATCTTGGCGCCTAATAACGAGGAATTATCGCGAGCAATACAATGGAAAAATGTAGGTACATGGGCGCGCTATGCGCTGAGGGTCTTTTCGGTACAATCGGCTTTGATGTCGCCCGCGCGCACGAGGAAAATATAATGCCCGTGTCGTTGTTCGCGCCCGCCGCACACACAATAAGATTATTCATACCGTCTCGTCGAGCTTAATATCCTCTATCTCTCTCCCTCTCGCTCGCAATATGCGCCTATAACATTTACTCTCATACGTGTTCATTTGGTCCGTGCACCATGTGACCAGCATACGTGTTATTAAATCGAAGACTCACGTGCAGGTAGTTTGCACTCGCCGCGCTAAACGTTACATATTTTCTAAACATCGTTTCGCCCCGGAGAAATGCCACTGTTACAACCCAGTTTTGCGGAATATTGCTGTCACTTATGAAGCTCCAATGGCATTTTCGCGCTTTATTCAAGCCTTAAGTCACCGAAATCGGTTATTACACTCTTCGGTTAATATGAAATTCTTGAAAGTTTTACTGTCAACTTGGTCCCATTTGTTCAATTTGCAGTTTCGTTGAAGATAATATAATAATAAATTTTGGTTATGATGCGGTTTTATTTTACACTATTTGAATGCAATTTTCAATTATAATTGAGGAAAAAGGAAAAAATCTGTGAATTCAAGAATATTCATAGATATCGTTTCCTTTTTATTTATTTTTTTGTTTTGAAGAAATTATAACTTTGGTACAATATAATACATCCGCTGCATACAAATTGCCTTTCTTTAATTTCTGGCTTCTTCGATCGACTATATACAGCGCAGAAACTACTTACCACTTGTTGTAGGAAGAGACAATGCGTTGTACCGTTTCCAAGGAATACTAATTGGAAAGTCATAAAAATAAGCAAATTTTTCGCATACAATAGAAAGGGTAAGAATAAAAATTCCCCGTCATCCCATTCTCAATTAAAAACTTCCGATATCATAGTGTCTATGGGCTAGGATCATATATTTATCGACAAAGCTTCCTTGTTACGCGCTACTACGTCTACGGTTTAAGTTAATGCCAAGTTAGTGCCTAGCTAGAGAAGAATCCCACACGGTTAAGTAACAACAACGGCATCGACAACATCTTTGTGAATCGGTATGAGACAAAGGGTGTTGCGATTTTCCTGGCAACGCATTCGCGGAATATGCACAGGTGACAGAGAGTTACGGATTTACGCATGGAATGTTTAGGGCGCCGATCGTCTTTTTTTAAGAGCCGCAACGACTTCGCATTGACGGTTCGTCAAGCTCTTGTAGCGCGCGAGTCGTTACATAGCTAAGAGATCGACACGTTTGCTGCACTACTGCTCTCTGATTTCTGGAATTTCTCAGGTAAATTTTTCTTGCATCCTCTGCTACTTCCCGTGCACTAAAGTTTTTTTGCTTTTACGATTAAACAAAGAAATATCAAAATTACCAATGTAATAAGATTTTATTTCCAATTTATATACGAGCCCATGTAAATACCATTCAAGGGTTTAGTTATAACAAATTTTATTTTCAAATCAATTCCTTCCGTTTGGTAGAATTCAGTATTAAAGATATGTTTTCAATTTTTAAGCATTGATGCATGTGGGTTGCAGCTCCCAGGCGCTGGGAACAGATATTTAACGTCGACACAAATTAGCATCACTTGTATCAATTTTTGAACTATTGAAAGTGCTGAATTTAATTTCTCTAGTTCGATCTCGACCACAAAGCTAGTTTATCCATTGAAAGTGCGACAGATACTCGAATGACAGAGACAATATTGTGTCAAGACCTGTAAGCGATACATTCATTAGAACGTAAAATAATAGCAGCCAAATAAACTGGAAGGTCATTGTAGTTAATTTTCGGATGGCACTGTCCAAACAATGTTGCGAACGATGCGCGTGAATGAAGCGCAACGTGTGTAAACATAAGCACGCGTGAGATCGAAAGGTGAAAAGCTATTGCAACACTATGCATGATACATGTAGGAAAGCCCAATACACATTCAGCGTGTAATTATTTTATCCTCTCTGCCGTATAATTCGCGTTTGCAGTATGAATAGACTGATACACTCGCGCACATGCTTAGAGCAACATACACGTACACATAGGTACACGCACACTCACACACACGTCGGAGAAATCTAAGGGGCTAGCCTGCACTGTCCTAAAGGGGGCGTGTGGAACAGACAGGGCCAAGTAGTAGGGTGCAACTGACAGCATGAGACAATTAACCTTCTGATGAAATGTGGGGAGAGATGCAATCCTAAGGTATCGATTTATGCGTGCTCACTACTGTATACAGATCAGTCGATGCATTGTATTTAATCTATTCCATAAAACTTTACTAATTGCATTTTACATTTTTTTCACAGTTGTAGACTTTTCCGAAAATATTAACAGAACATATAAGACCTTATAATATACGACTCATAATAAAGACAATCCTCTTTACACTATTCATTATTAATTTTAGTTTACTAAAAAAATAGATTATAGTTATTAATAATATTTCACATTAAAAGAGAAAATCAGAGATACAAAATGTTATTATAATTATAATTAGATTCATAAAAACTTAACCGAATCTTACCATGACTTAGACCTGATTCGATGGTAGTTGTACATAATCAATAAATAAATTTCACAATTATCCAAGTATCACAGAGTATATTTTTACTTATCTACTTATAAATTATCTATAAAAATTTTTGAGACAAATTAATTTTAAATATAATATTTACAAATCATAAAAATTAAATGAATTAGAACACTAATTGATTTCATTTGTACAATAATCGCTGCTCGAATTCCTTTTTTTTTCTTGTTTTCTTGTCTATCTTGTATTCTCATTGTCGAATTCGGAAGGGAATATTTTTACACCATCATTAGAATTAGATTGGCTAAAATACTCTTCATTTGAGAATGATAATTTGCCCGTGCCAATTCTTGATCCGTACGTATATGATGGCCACTTTATGTCAGATTCTATATCACCAATATTAATTTATGAATCGATATAATTTTATTTTAATGAAACATATTATTTTCGTTCAACTTACCAACATGATTATAAACAAAAGGATTTTGATAAAACGTTTGATGAGGATTATAAAATGCAGTTCCGCTTGAAAATTCGTAGAAATTAGGTAATTTATTGTTATTATTTGAAGGTTTTTGTGGAAAATACTCGGGACGCATTGAAGTCCATAAACCAAGCTCTTGTTGAGGTGTTTCAGAGTGTAGGAGATAATCATTATTCATTGTGAAAAATCGGAAAAATCCACCTTTATAATTGTTCAAATAAGCTATAAGTTCTTGTTGGTCTCTTGGACATCTCGGATATTCTTGGTAACACACTCTAGGGTCACCTCTATATACGTATCCAAGTAAAGCTGCTTTTCCAAACAGGGTTAAAGGAGATGCTCCGCTTCGATCGAAAGCCGACAGTAAACTGAAGTTTAAAAAAATTATAAACTTTTGTAATAGAAAAAAAATGTTCCCAAAATGATGAAAATATTTATAAATTACGTAATTTACATTTCACCGAGGATGAGTTATAAAACAATCAAAAAAAGTTAAGCTGTGCTCACTTGAATAAAAGAATTTGACCAGTTGTTGGACGAGCACTACGATATGAAGATTCTCCAGGAGTTGAACCACTTGTAATTTCGCATAAAATTCTAGGCACGCATCTGTAATCATCGTGCCGAGATATGGAGCTCATTGCACCAAATAATTTTTGTCCTGGATTTTCAAAAACATTTAGACCTAATAGATCAGCAAACCTTGGGATTTGAAAATCATTAGGCCACATGCTGCCCTGCATGAATAAATATTTATTGAAAATGAGTCGAAAGCCTAAACGTGCAACTTTTTATTAACATTAAACTTGCCAACGATCTCATGAATTTATCGAGAAAAAATCCGTTAAATCTTGGTTTCAAGTCACTTGATTGATCATCAGAGCTCATAAAAGTTCTTCCTTGTCTATTAGCTCGACCTTCACTAGATAGATCTATGTTCGGAGATCGATGTCTGTCCTCAGACGCTAGTGAATTCAAACACCTAAAATTTAAAACAACCATTGTATCTTATGTTTCAAGTAAAATTGAATAGGATATTAAAAAACCAACTGCAGTAAATCGGTAGGAGTGTAATTTTTCGAATTTTCATTAAAATTGCAGCTTGTAGTCGATTCAACTAGTGCATGAGTTCTCGAACGTCCTCGCCTAGCAGCACGAACTTGTTCTATTGACACTGAATTCAACAGCATCAGCAAAACCAATGCGAAATTCACGGTCCACCGAGGCATTATTTCGAGAAATCGAACTATATTCCCTTATTCCTAGATCTGAGTCGTAAGTAAATTATCGATGATGTAAACTACTGCAATAGTTTCACTATAATAGTGGATAGATAATTTTTATAACTATCCAGAAAACGTACTATTTAACAAAAAATCACTTCAAACTTTTTTTAAAACAAACCCAATAACACTCAAAACACTTATCGCAATATTTTACACTGAACTCAATTACACTACTCAGCAAATTTGTAGAAATGACTGCTTAAAAGTGAAACTTCACTGTCCGGAAGATGAATCACAACTGAACTCCGAGTCCCATAACATAATATTGGTTGCCGTTTAAAAACGTGGGTTGGCCAAACTTTTAAGTTATTTCCACAAACATTACATGTAATACTCGAACGCTTGAACCACACAGTACAATCGTTTGAAAACTACTCAAAAAGAATTGCGCAAAAATTATTTCGTGAGAGTTTTCACTGATTTACTTTGATGATACATCACAACTTGTATACTGTTTTAAATAGTGATTATCGATTTCTGAATAATTAGCATTTTAACGATTGCTACCTAGTGCGCTTAACATTTCATATTAGCTTCATTTGATAGAATTTGAATATACGTCGATGTCATTGACTCTATTACCGATGTGTAGTTTACTGTTTTCAAACGATGATAGGTCATTGGTCACTAAAAAGATGAAAAACTTGTAAATGTTCATTTTAAAAAACGTGTATTTCATACTATGTCAACTAATTGGGTTTTTACAAATACAATGTATAAATCTATCGTCATACCCATAACAAAACACACAATTACATTAAGTAACTAATGCCATTTTTATTATAATTTAACCTCAAACAATAATTTTTTCAACAAGTATTCGTCATATTTGACGAAAGTCGGGAATTTAAGTAAAAACAGTGACATATGTGTAATCATAAAAAAAACTATTACGAATATATATTTTGCTTGAGAATCACAAATATAGAACGATTGTCAAGATCGTCACCATCTTCGAATATTCAATTATAGACCATGTGCGAATTCACACCATAGATTTTTTTAATAAAAATACAATGCATTCTCCGATTACATCATACGTGGAAAGAAGTAGTCGACATATTCATGTGCTCATTAACATAAACCACTTAATGGACTACGTGCCGACAATTTTAATAATATGAATTATTCTATACTTTCGTTGAAAATAAAAAAAATATTGAAACATGTGAAATTGTATTTACAATATTAGTAAAAATTATTTTATCAACTATTTAACGAATTTCGACTAATAAATTTGGTTTTTCGAATAATTCGTTCTAGCATACAACGTAAAAAGTATTTCCTATTACAACATTATTTTTAGTTTATACATTCATTTACACGATTGTTAGTCTATCAATGGTATTTGGCACTGTCTCCCTCGTTTTGCTAGTAGGCGGCAAAGACGTGGACTTCCAATAATGTCACCCAGAAAAACGCTGAGCAAATAGTTGTCTTTCATTGGATCTGGTGATGATTTGTATTGACTGTAAAGTATATAAGTATATCAAGTTCAAAGTTTCATCAAGCAATATTTTTTTCAATTTTGTATCAGTTTTGCCGTATCAATAATGCATCCAATGGATACCAAGCGAAGCGTATTAAGAATTTCGGGAGAATTCAACTTAATACGGAGCGATACAGTTCATTAAAATTGTCAATGTCCTGTACATGACCCCAACTCTTGAGGGACAAAAATTAAAGAGAAAATCCGCATTATAACAGTATATTTCAAACGATTCCGTCAGTAAATCTCGGGCCAGAACGTGTAGTACTTGGAAAACGATTTCAGAAATCGTACTAGGGTGGAAAAGAAGCTCGGTGTGTTTCATCGCACGCCTCGAGCGCCAAGTTCATTCTATTCTATTTCTTTCTTCTTTCACGTCCGTTGCCAAGCTTACACGATACTAAATTTCTCTGTAAGCAACGTGCGCCTTGTACAGATAGCCCTAATGGCACGGATACTCTAATGCACCTCGATAAATCGCGCGTATACAATAGATTTTTTCGACCGGCTAATCTCTTTCTTTTTTTTCAATTTTAGCCAACTCTTACGCGACTATTTTTGATAGAAAAAATACAACCTGACATTAAATCTTCTGCAGAAACGTTGCGTGTCACAAAAACGATTGCCCAAGAGATACCGATGTAAATGTAAATTCTTATTGCCAAACTACGGCCGATTATTGAAATCGCTAATTTACATGTGGCGAATATCAAATTATCGTTAAAACTATTAATACCTGAATATGACATTCCAATCAAGATGATGTTGACTGTTGCTTTTCTGGAGTGATGTTTCTGCATATTTAGCGCACACTCGTTCATAAATACACACATTTTGTCCGGCCTCTTCTATTAGTTTCTTTTCGATCAATGGCACATCAAATTGTTCTTCATCTTCGAAGGCAATCAAGCCCCGCTTGACGCGACTCTGATAAGTTTCTAAAATTGACAATAACGAGTGATTAAATCACTTGCAAATTTTATTAAAATTTTTATTAAAAAGTATAATTTTGAGTCATCTCCCAGAAATACGTATCGAAATATGGCAAAGGAAAAATTGTCAATCGCATGAATATTGGTATATAAATATAATTTGTTACGATAGTATTACACATGTTGTTTGGCTTTACGAGCTATTTCAAACAAGTGAAACACTTTCGCTTTCGCCACACACGCGCTTTTGAATTCGTATGCATGCGGTGCGTATGCGCTGTGTATTGGGCATTCACTGTGCGTTTGCACGGGTTATTTCACTGGATGAATTACTTCTTAAGGAAATGAAAATTACTTTTGGAATGTTCTCGCGTTTTTCTCTTGATATCTTGATAGATCATATATTATTACATTCGTAAATGAGTTAAAGTACTTACGAGGATTCAACGAGTAAGCCAATTTTTTGACAAAATTCGAAATCCTAACAGCTGCAATGATCACGGGGAATCCCACTAATTGTACAGGAAGTTCAAAAAAGGGTTCATTGTTTTGCGGTGCCGATGCTACACACGTTAAAACTAAAAAGTAGCATGAAAAAATACAGAATATTCTTGATAGCTGCATCGTTTGATACCTAAAAACATATAAGTTTATAAATTATTTTCAATCAATTATAATATTTTCGTTCTTAAGTCGTATCCTCGACATTAAGTATTTTATAGTTACGATTGAAAAAATTAAATAAGAAATCTTAAGAACACGGATTTGTTGTTTACTTAAACTTCTCAAAATGTAAAAAAAACCATCGATATAAACAAAAGATATTAGTTGAAGTTTAAAATAAAACATGAAAATATTTTCCAGGTACTCGAATACGGGAGTATCCGTTTCCTTGTTATATAACTTCAAGAAAGTAGATTTGGCGAAAATACACGTACACACATGATGACACTTTTTCGCACAGACTCTTTCACTCGATTCGCAATTGTTTACTCATCTTACAACTTTCCTTTTTTTATAGATTACATAGTTATTGTAAGAGTTTATCAAATTGTCAGTTTCGCAAAAGTACTCACCTGCCGCGTGCTGATACACCTACTCAACCGAAATCGCGTTGTTGCTTTGGTAAAAACTCAGCGCTGAATGTTCGCTGGAATTATGCTGAGCAGTTAAAGTCTGCAAAACTCTTGCCTCGGAGAAAGTCAATCTGGTTGCCCCTCCAGACGCGATTTCTGCTGTATACATAGGCGCTCGCGAGGCTCAGTTCCACGGTACGAGGAGCCTTGCGAAACAGATCAGTAGTATAATCCTGTGCCTACGGCAAAATCGATGTAACCCGTACGAGTACGCTCTCGAGGTTGCATCTCCAATTTGTGGGAGGTGGGTACAAGGTCGCGGCTTTCCCCTTGAAAAAGCACGTACAACGTGCTCCGGGTCACGATCGCGACACTTTGAGATTCGATCCGCGTTTTTGCGGCACCTTGGCCGATCACTGAATGTAATATCAATTGAATGAAAAAAAATTGATGCCCGCAAAATGAGTACAAAAGAACCATTACATCACCGATTTCAATTAATTGATACGATATAATCCTCAATTTTACTTTCACCCATTTTCAGTGTTATCATTTTCTTCGAGAGAACCAATATTATGTATTGTTACTCAAGACATCTGATAGCTTTCATAATATAAATTTTCTACAAATTCTCATTCGAAATGAAATCACGTAAACAATATTTAACCTGAATGCTAAATAGCGTGGCACCGGTAGTTGGTTGAATTTCAGATTAACACGATTCGCCATATTATAATATATACGGGGCATATCAATGAAATTTCATAAAATGTTTTCATTTTTATAATTGTGTATGTGTAAACATGAATAATTTCAAATTTTCTCTCTGAAAAATTAATTTTCATTTTGCAAAGTATTTATTAAAGCATAATTAATACATTTTGATGATTTTAAAATACATGAAAAAAATCAGATAAAAACATAAGTATTTAAATGAACTTTTTGTCGTTTGTTTATGTTCTTAAAAAAACTCATGTACGATAAGCTAAATGCGTTTAAAAACACATACATTCCACACATATTACACAATTGTTGAAACACTTAATAAATTATCATTTATAAAACTTAATTTACTTGAAAATTAAGATTTATATGAATGAACAGTTTTACACACTCAAGTATTAACAACTTGTAATGAAAATGGACTACAATATTAAGTCGACTATCTTCTTAGAACTTAAAAAATATCACAGATAATATTTAGTTATGAGTGCACACAGTGCACATAATCCTCACTACACTTAAAAGTTTACAACACAAACTTTGTCGGGAGTCATTGCTTTTGATACAAAGTTCATGCTCCGATTTTTTCATTTTCGCCATTAGGTTCTTCATTTTTGTGATTAACAGCATATTTTGCCATGCCAAGTACTTGTTTGGAACTCAGAGGACAACTTGGGAAGAAATTGTGGCATCCTTGATTATCTATTCCTCTGATCAATTGTCCCATGTGGGCAGCATAATGGAATTTTGACAGTTCACCTCCGTAATTCAGACTTGTATCGCTAGAAAAGCAAAATATATTAAAAAAAAATAAATACATTATCAAATTGAATGAAAAAAATTGATCAATTAAATAGCCCAAGGTTCTTTTCTTTCATTTTCTCCCCCCTCTCAATCTCTCTGAATACTTTTACTTTCGAACGAGAATGCACTCACGCAGTATTATTAAATAGTCATTGAAAATGATTATGCAAACCGACCTTAATAATTAGATTGTAATGTCCATAGCACGTTATGAGTTTTCAAATTTTTTGCACCTTGTACTTGCACAATTAAGTATTTGAAAAAAAAATACGACAATCTTTTTTAGCGAGCAATCAGTTTTTTATTGGAAGTTAGCTAATGATAAGTGTTGATGGCTCATAATTTGTATGTATAACTATGACTTACTATCAAAGAGAAAACATTGATGCCTAATTACAAGTTCACTCGAATTAGAACTATTTTTAATTGAAACTAAGTATTATATACTTTTTCCTGCGAAAGTTAAAAAAACATGTTTGTAGAAATGTTGACAATTTCTTTTTTGTCTGCATTTTTTAAGTGCACATCTTATTTCCAATTGGTTAAAACGTCATAAGCAATTCTAGGTATCGCACACAATCGAAGATAGAAAATTATCCATTTAAATTCTACAAGCAAGTATACTTGTTGCGATGTGTCATATCAAAATGACAGAGAAAAAAATGTGCACAACAGAGGAACGAAATAAGTGTTAGAACGACAAAAAGTCATCAAAACAACAGGAGTTTTTATCAGTTCTTTTCAAGCATCAAAGAAGATGTCTGTCTGATTTCGTTGCTAAGCTTTACGACCGTGAGCTTTTATATTTGTGTGCTTATATATCCAAACACATAGGCGAACGAAACAGTTTCACGTACCTATAAATAGCAAGTCATCCTTTTTTAATCTTTCCCTCATCTCGATTGGTTAGCTCTTTTTAGATCTGCACAGGATCTAACCAATAAAGTCAAACACATAGCAATAGAGAATTCCACCCGTTTATATGCAAGTATAAAGCTAGAATTTCCAGGACATTAAGCACTTGGATATTTGCGCATTTTCTTAGCAGACGCGCAAGCAAGACAAAAGTGTCTATTTGATTGGGAGCTCTCTGCGTATGAGCGTACTGGTACGCACGATGATGAACCAGTTTATTATGTTGAAGGGGGTGGCAAAGCTTCAATTCAGAATCTACGTGTATACGTACATTCAGTATAAGAACGTTTTCATACCTCTCACAAACAAAACGATTTCAAGTTGCCATTGGCATGAATCTCCTTTAGTGTTAGCTCATAATTTGTAAAATAAAAAAGAAACCATTATTAGAAATGAATATTCTCAATTTGATTTTCCAATTTCAATTTGTTACTAGAATCTATAAAATTATATAACTACTAGATTCAAAATTGTTCATTGACGGTAACTAAACTGAAATAATTTCTTTTGCTTGAATGGTATGATTTGAAAATATTTTAATATGACTCGAATCCGAAGCTCAAGTAGAGATCAAAACGTTTATAGTAAGGGGTACAAGGAGACATCATATTCTTCGCAACATACACATCAATGAAAGGAGAGACTAATAATTTGAAAGAGCCTTACATGAATATAATCTTATTGGGCAATTAATTCTTCACCTTCTTTTTTCATCGCTCATATTAAATTATCAGGAAGCATCTAAATATTTTCACTTACAGAATATTTTCAAGTAGTACTTTTTAGTTTTTAATTAAATTACATAATTTGATAAAAAATATTGTACCACAAAACTACCGTCATTGAAACGAGTATTTTAACGATATTAATGTGATACGATATAATTTATTGATATTAATATTAAAAAATATTTACTGAATGAAGCATTCACTTCTAGAACTATCACTCGAAAAAATGTTTACGCGTATAAAATGAATATCGTATTTTAATTAATTTATACAATCCAGAATACAACTCAGCCAAGCAAATATAAAGCTATGAATGATACTAAATAACTTTGAAAGAAAAACTTTTGGTGTATCTTAATCGTCATGTCGAAAATGCAACGTATGGTTAATTTTTCTATCAATGGTCGGTGCTTCGAGGCGAGAATAACATTCATCGTCATTCGTTGAATTATTCGTGATACATTGAAAGCTCATTTCTCTCAACACTTGAATGGACAAATGCCTGGTTTTCGTATCAGCAAATATAATAATACCCTCGTATTCTCGGTCACGTACGGCGTACAGAGGAATCACATTATATGTGCGTATATGGACGATACAGTCTATTTTGTCGTTGAATATTAACATGCAGAATGTGATTTATAAAGAGCCTTGACTGGTTAATACTCTAAAATGCGAGAGAGCTTATTATTATCATTCGTATAACTTCATTATTGAACCCTGTTGAACAACAGTTTCATAATGCTCGCGCACATGCGGTCGGGATAAATAATCCGAAAATTGTAGAACGCTCGGGAAATTGAAATTATCAACTTGTACGATAACGACTGGTATTTTTCATTTTTCTTGTGTACGTCTCTTACAATGGTAACATTTTTTGATGCCATTGTATATATTTTTGAAGTTTAATTCATTAATTTATTCAATTCATTACGTCATCAACAATAAATTACTCGCTTTTAGGCCGAATAAATAAATTTGCTTAATTGAGCTCTAATTAACTTAAAGGATCAGAAAAACTAGTAAAAAATTTGGATATATTTTGTGGGACCCAAGTAATAATATCTATTAATGGTGAGCGAAAGCCACGCTTGAAAGTGCAATAAACACGAATGTCGAATCACAGTAGCTTTGAAAGTGTATTTCAGTCACGATCTTCATAATATGCGAAATTGAAGTAATTATACCCTGTATGCGTGCAAAGAGAAACTTTATCTAAATAGTAATGAAGAATAGATGTATGAAAAGAGCAAATTTTGATATACACTTGCGATGTATCCAATATCTCTTCCTTCCAAACTTGCTCATATCAGGGGCAGTTTGGAAGTCTCAACGACTCCAAGGCCAACAACATAGAAAAAAAAGAATGCACTTTCAGCATCTTGTATTTGTGTGTATCCCACGCTTTACTTGAATTACTTTTTCAGATTCCAGCTCGCTCGTTTAAGAACAAAAGAAGATTCAGTTGAATTAGTCTGAATGAAAACTCATTTGTTTACCTGATTACTTCAAGCAGAGACCTCTCTACTACGGTTAGATGATCTTCATGGGCTGCTCTGGACAGTTCACAGACCAATTTTGGTAAACAGATAGCCTTCATTATAGCAAAAAGCTTTTCTCTTTTCAAGTTTTCTGTAAGTAGGTAATATTGAATGTTATTATTAAAATATTTATTTTCAAGTATTTATAATTTAAAAGTTCATAAATAACTATAAGCTTGGTACTTTAAATTTAAAAATTTTTTGTTTTTTTTCTGAATTTTGAAATTATTCAGCATATTTGTTTGTGTTGTTACAAAATATAATTACATTGCCTAAATTACTAGATTTTAAAAATCTCTGTTGCTCAATAAAATGAAATGGGCAAATATGCTTTTCAGTTTTATAATGAACGTGTCATTTTTCAAGACACTATTGATCTTGTAGTTGAATAATTTTTTCTTCTGTTAAAAGATCAAATCATGTAGATTTTTATTTATTATCAAAAAAATTGAAATAAGTAATGACAATATCTATAAGTGAATTATTAGGAGAAAAGGTACCTACATTTTTAGCTGTAAATTATTCTAAAAATGGACATAAAAAATGTCAACAGAAGTCAAATCACTTTCTTGCAAAATAAATTTTCAAAAGCGAACTCTACTCAAAAAATAGTTTATATAATTTTTATCTAATTTAAGTACTAAGCCAAGTTATTGTTAACCAATTTTAAAATTTCGTTAAATATTATAAATATTTTACAAGAAGTATAATGTTATAATACAAATCTTATGTTAACTTTAGAGTACACAATGAAACTTGCGGAAGAATATTTTTTTTAAATTTTGGCAAAGAGTATATAAATAATTTATCATATTAAAAAACAGACAGAATTGATATTTTTACTCCTTATGAAAATTCTTTTAAAATGTAGAGTCGTTGTGACCAAAAATATTCATTATTTAACCTAAGAAAATTATTAACCCATTTAATTCTTTACAGAATCGACGTTATAATAGTCATAAAATATTGTGATATTGCGGAAAACAAGAGTATCAAAAAACGTATTGATACATTTTTAATTTGTTCTCTCAACTCTGCATATTACTTTTAATTATTAATTACAGCTGAATATTTGGGTGGTTTTATGAACCTATAAAGAATGAATTAAACAATATTAAGATCAATATATATGAATTTTTCTTACTTTCATCTTTTTCGGCCTCATCTTCCTCTTTAGAAACTTGATTTAGCATAATTTTTTCCAAAGAAGAATCGGAGTTCGACTGTTCTCCTGTATCTTCGTAAGAGTCCGTTGAAAAATAATCTCTATTGTTTGAATCATCTTTTTTATCCCATAGTGATGTTAAACCAGCGTACTCGCCCGTTATCACAAAGTAAACTGCAACTATTATGATGAAACGCACTGTTTTTTGATCTATCATAATTGATGCTTTCTGAAAGAAATGAAAAAATCATATTAGTACAAATAATTATTGAAATTAATAATTTGAGCGAATTAAAAGTGTTGTGACTATGGAAAAGAATTGACACATTTCTGTAAGTCTAGCATGAAATGACTGTGAAAAACATAGACTTTGACGTTTAATTGTTCCTGAAAGTTTTTTCTTTTGAAAAAGCAATAAACAGCTATGATGGAAATGAAAACTACGAACTTTCACGAGAAAATAACTTTAGCCGACTACCGAAACCTTCAAGATAATAGCAAGCAGAGCAAGCTGCGGCAACACACACGCGCACGCGGGAGCAGAAGCGTGGCATGTTGTTGTGAAGTAAAAGTACTTGCAAATGTCAGAAAAAGCACTGATGCCCACAATTAGCGAAACTCAATTGTACGCTCGAGTAGTAACACCGGCCGGTTCGGGTAAACCCCATGCAGTGCCATAAGCCTTTTTTCATATTATGCGTATCATGACCCACTCTTTAAACGAATAACCGATTACTCGAATGTCATGCTTCTTCGTACATGTACGGGAGAAATCTCGAAAATTCCGTTACGCAATATAATATTCGACAATTTTATTAGTGAATTATCTTAAAATAGATGGTTGTTTATATATTATAAAAACCTTAATTATGTATTATCGACTAGTTGTAAATACACCATTTTTCTGCTGTCAATGTATAAAGAAATGTACACAAGCATAAACAAGGCTTGATATATCCGACGGTTGTAGCGTTGCATATATATATACACGAAAAGTAAAAGTGGAGTCTCAGCAACGCTCACAGTTCAACGACTTTTACTTTCAATCGCGTTTGGAGCAAGAATCGCCAATACCAAACGCCTATATATAGGTGTAGCGTGGAAAATTTTTTTGCATTGTATATTTTTGTGGAATAGCTCATTAGACTCCCAAATAAAACGGTCAACAAAGCGATTTCTGAATACCACGTGCATTTTTTGCATCTTCCTTATAGACGTTTAATTAAAAAATCCGACAAGTTCTCATGACTTGCAATGTAGAATTCGAGAATATTCTTTACGATCGTTTAACTGAAAAATTAAACAAATATTTTTCAATTTTTTATACATCGTGGTAAGTTTTTTGGGCACTTAATTAATATTCTATAGTGAGTTGTAAAGAATCGAATTATAACGTTCTGATGTACGTGTCTGAAAAAGACGCGGTTGGGTTTTTACACGTGTAATGCGTAATCTAAATTTAGTCGAATACAGCGCTCAACTATCCACGACACATTGATCGTTTGATGAGACAGACGCTAGTAAAATAAGCGATGTTAAAAAAAATGCTTATTATGCAGGCGAACGTATGTATCGACGAATTATCTCACACAAGCACTAATACTGCTGCGCAGCGTTTCACTCTCAACAAAACTACTCTCACTTTCCTGTACACCGAGCAGAAAACAACCAGATGCACGCAATGCTGATAAAAGTATTTCCAAACAACACATACACACATTAACACGCGTCGTAGTTTTGGATTTGAACAATCGAATTGTTTGTAAGCAAAGATGAAAGAGAAAAAAAATAATCAAAATTTAAAACTAACGTTTACACAACTGAAAAACGGCACTCTGAGTTATTCAATCCCTGCCGGATCACACGATCGGTGGCCTCTCGCCGTTACGGAATGACTGTGAATGACTCGGGCTCATGGCTTCGCGAGGCTAACAGCCTTCGCGCTCGGCAGTGAAAGTAAATTCGAGCTACACTCATATACGCACAAGCCTACCTTTGTAGATATCGAGCAACGTCAAACTTGAGATCTTCACGTGGTTTTATATTATGGTATATACTCATACATTTATCATATTGAATTTCTTACGAATCGGCTTATCATAAGCTTATGATTTTCGATTTATTTTCAAGAATTTATTGATAGTACTTTTTGATTTTATTCATACGTTTCTAATTTTTTCTGCTAATGAAATTATTTCTCTTATAATCGTGTAATTTTTACTTTTAGTTTTACTAGAGAAATGACAGTATAATTTGAAAATTTTAGACTAAGAACACATTTTAATCTACCAAAATGAGATTACTACGATGAGAGACTAAAATGAGATAAGATTAAATCGATCTTGAAAAACAATATATCCCAAATTTATAAGTTTACATCCAAAATCAAGTGATAGACAGTATTGCGAAACAGACCAACTCTATCAGATGTAAAGAAATGATATGTCACGTATAAAAAATTAAGACCCACTTGAAATTTGAACTTCTGTTTGATCGCAAATCATTAAATTAAGCTATTTTTGATATATTTTTATAAAGTAAGTGACGTGTCCAATTGTTGAGGTTTTGTTTCGTAGACCGATTCTCTCATCTCTGCAAATTCTTAAAGCCTAAAAAAATTGTTCGCCCACGATTTTCCTGACCTCTTTGGTATCTTGATGATTTTGAATCTGTAATATCAACTTTTGTAAATACATTTCAGTAATTGAATACGAACTAAATTGTTAATCTAAATTCAAAATTTAGTTTCTTAGGTTGAAATAGTAATTGTGAAAAGCTATCATAAGTTTATTGATTGCTTGCAGACTCAAATTAGAAACATACGCTTAAATTTATACCTCGGTAAAATGAATTTGTATAGGAATTTTCGTTCATGACTCCACTATTTGAACCCTATTTTCGAACCACCTGACATTGTGGGTGGTCGAGCAAAGACTCCAAACTTCCTCGGTGGTGGCTCTGGCGGGTTCGACGGTGGAAAAGACGGGTCCAATATCTGATGAAAAAATCCATATTTACTCAAATATATAATGTAATTTAATGTATATTTTATAGACTGTAATTGATTATCAGTTTATTTATTTAGTCTATAGAGTTAGTTAATAATATTTAGTTGGACTAACGAGAAAAAATTAATGGATTTGATTATACCTTAACGTCATTGATCTCTATTTCAGGATCAATTTCGTCTTGATGATATTCACCATTACAATTTGACATTTTCTTCGTTCGCTCCGTACAACTTTTCCAATACTTCCACTAAAAAAGTATCCAGTGGTTAATACTTTATGGTAAAATAAAACATTTTTTATAGTAATTCATTGATACACATATTCCTTCACTGTGTTTACCTTTGCTACAAAGTTTTCAAGCTCGTTTAATTTGCCCTGTGTTTTCATGAGTTTTGTACTTAATCGCTTTATCTACTTGGTAATACATAAATGTTTTTATTTTTATTGATATAATATAATAATATGTTTGATTTAAGAATTTTTACCTCGCTGTCCAAATGTTTCGTAGTTATTTTTTGTGCTTTTTTCTGAAAATAATTTAAAATATTCGACACAAATCGTATTCACAGAGAAATATTTTACCCTATTACTGACCGTATTCATAACAACTTCTTCATATTCCATGCGATGATTTTTTATTGCTATCATATCATTTACTTTCTAAAATTTAAAAACCGTATTGTACGATGTATTTTTTTTTCTTTCAATAAAACTTTTTTGCATACCGTTCGATTTAAATTCACTTTGGCGATCATTTCTTCATTTTTGTCCTCGATTTGCTTGATAACCTGAACAAAAATTAATAATAAGACAGTAATATTGACGATTTTTCATTCAAAATGTATGTTTACCTTGTGAGCGTAGCAAATGGCAAAGTAGAATAGTATGTACATAAAAATACAAACGAACACATTATCTAACAGATATTCACGAATGAAAGACTGAAACATAAAAATAAACAATTATATATAAAAGCTAAACTTTTAGAAATATGAACGAAAAATAATACAGTTTAATATTATGTTAAGTAATGGGATCACGCATACAAACGATCATTGCATACGTTTACAGGGATAAATGTGATATTCTTTGAAATTTATTAATTAAGTAGTCATAAAATACATTTATTTACATTGATCAGTTAACCTCAATTCATAATAAATCACTCGATTTGATGGTTACTAATGAGGGAAGTAATCCGATTAACTAATACTCATAGTTAGCTATAAACGGTGGTGATACTGCTGATTTTAACAAAAACTTACGTCTTTATCATAAAGGTCGACTAATTTGAGCAGTGAAAACTGTTTATTCGTCCGATAAAAATAAGGTTGTTTTGGTGTAAACATATTTGAAGGTGCACTCCATTAGCAAAATTCAATTATTTAAGTAGGCTCCACCTGTCCGTACGACAGATCTAGTGATATTTTAAAATCCTGTCGTACGGCTATAATGAATAATCTAACCAATAATTAAAGTATGCTCGATGAATACAGAATTACACGAGGAGATGAATAATCCATGATCAAGCTAACTTCAGAGTACATACAATATTATAAACATTATTTTCAAAAATAATTTAAACAATGTATTTGTTTATATTTAGCCGGCAGCAGCACTGCGCATATTAATGTTCAGTAAGTTTGAATAAAAAAAAATTTGATTTTCATAAAAAAAAAAAAAAAAAATGAGTTGTAAACCAAGGTGCGATTTAAAATATATAAATAATAATGTAAATAATTGATGATTATAAATTCATCGCTTCATTGCCATTTTCTTACGAAAATTAATTCTTAGTTATGTACCCGTAAAATTTTTATTGATCTGATAAGAATTTTATCAAAGTTCAGGCTGGATTGGACTGTGAGTTTCAACTAGAATTAACAATATTATGCAGTAAGCGTAAAAATAAAAACGTATTCACATAATTAGTTCGAAACGAATTATTGCGAAATCACTTGCTCTAGACTCTCAGATTACTAGTTCATAATTTAAAAAAAAACCATATAGTTTAACGGGCAAGAGACAAGTACATATACTTTGTCTACAATCGCAAATATTTATTTTCGCTGATTTGACAAGATTATCGCTTTTCCTAAATTTCAAACACGACTTGAAAGTCCCAACCATACGAACTTTTTTTCTCAAGGTTAAAATATAAATGAGGAATATTTATAAGCGCCATAAAAATTATTTTGTACATCTAGAACGATGTAATATCGTCAAATATTCAAGAAAAAACGTCTTTTTTCGATTTTTTTAGGGACCTCAAGTGGTCTAGCAGTTATAGACGTTTCAAAATACTAGTGTGAAAAGATTTGAAATTATAATTCAACAGAAATCTATACTTGAACATTATATGTTTCAAGTCATATAAGATCTTCAGGTTGGTTGCAACTGGAATTCTTTAAACTCTCTATAACGTTACTAATAAAATTTCAAAATTTGATCAAATATGAGTTATAAAATCGATCAATACCTGTTTAAAGTATTTTTGGATTTAGATAAATGTTGATAAGCTAGAGGTCTGAACCTTGATAACTTGGAGTAAAATAATTATTTTAAATACTTGTTGAAATTTCATACTTAATAGCGTCTGAAGTTTTTAAATTGAAAATCAAAGATTCAAAAATTTAGGCTTATGTTGACAATGGAAATAAAACTTTTGTTCTGTACGTGAAAAGTTCACAAGCTAAAGATCTGAACTTGACAAGTAGGTTTGAAAAACTAGCTAAAGCGTTTATGTTTGATTGAACTAACGATAAAAATTTTTAAACTTTAATAAAGACAAGTATTCAAACTATATCTACATGAATTGAGTCAAAATGACAGCATTTTTATATGGGAACGTTACTTTTACTATTACTTACTATATTATATTTAAAAAAGATACATTCTCAAAGTATTGTTGAGAATTATGACAAAATAAAGAAAATTCTTCTTTTTCTTCACTTACTATCCCCGTTTACAGTAATCTCTGTATAAGACTACGATTATGCGAGAAAATTATAGTTGATCGATCAAAATTTTTTTGTTTATCAAGTGATAACACTTTCAATAAATATGTAACTCTTAAAGTATAAATAACTAACAGACAACAGGTAAGTTTCAAAATATACCTATCAAGACAATTTCTAAAAGATATAGGTTTGAGCATCTACAACGCACATCTAGGAAAGGGCCTGTGCACTATTAGTTAATTAACATGGCGCTTGGTACCATTTCGAGGAGGACATAAATCTTGATGTCAACACGTACGGCAATCAAAGCCGGTACACGCAAGGGTGTAAATGGAGGTGGTGACTGTAACCCAGCACTAATGATGGTTGAGCGTGAGCGACGCAACTCACAACGTGTCATTTCACGATAAGCTTCGTCTTGACGACTTGCCTAACACTAGAATGTCGGTTTCTTAGATGCAATTTTTCTCATTTTCTCATACACATCTATTTCAGGTAGTTCATTTTTAACATTTCAATAACTACATACGTCGATCAATCAATAAGGCCTTTCGTGTACAATTAATTTTTTGCAAAATTTGAAAGTATGTATGCTTACTTTTATATTAAACACAAGAGCAAACTAACTTTCTTTTATACTTCCCAAGAATCAAAACGTCAGCTCTCTCATCTTTCTTGAGCTCCCACGTTTTAAATATGAACAAATGTGAAAAGTAAAAAGGTATTACACTTAAATAGGTATACATCAGATATCTCTCTTATTAGTTTGCGAAATTTTAGCGGTATAATTACATTGCTCGCGAGCTCAATGACGCATGATACAAATTAATGATTCGAGCGTTGATTTGAGCCAACTATAAAGATTCTTGATTATTATACTTGTTCGCGATCGACAAAGAAATTTATCTATAAAACTTCCGAATTTTGTATATGTTATATTTAAAATTTATATATCTCTAAGTAACATACATTGCGCAACAAAAAATGTTATTAAAATTTTTTCAATTTTCAAATGCTTCTATCTTTACTCTTTTTAACGAGCAATTTAAAAAAATTAAGGCACTTTATGATTATCTTTGCGCCCCGTAGGACGTTTTGAAGGTACCATTTAAAGTACGTAAAATGCCTCGTTTAGCTAAGATTGACTCGATTTTTGGGCATATATAGATTTAAAGAAGACAAAATTTTCCAGAACAAAATTTGTCACGATGCAATAAAAATAGACGAAGGTAAAAGCATTTGAAAATTGAAAAAATTTTGATAAAATTTTTTTGCTGTGATAATTTTGTTGCATTGTGTATTTTTAAAAAGAAATTATGTATTAACCAGATATATTGAGTCTTGTAAAATAATTCACGTTAAGAATTATTTTTTGATAATCATTTTTATTTTTATTAAGTTTGTGACAATTATGACCCTTGTCTCATAATTTTCACGCTAATCTAATACTTACTAATGAAAAAAGTTTATTGTATGTTAGACGAAACTGCTACAACAAAGCACAATAATGTTAACGACTTGTTTCTATTCTAAACCCATCTAGAAGTTCTCCAACAGTATTCAAGAAATCTCTTGAAATGGTATCAAGAGAACATGAACTCCATGTGGTTATGTGTTATAAGAGTAATATTTCGATACAGATTAGTATATTTTGTAACAAGTGCGCGAAGCAGTTGACTCATCCAGGAGTTGTTTTCACCCTAGCGTAGCGAGATCAGACTTCACAAATACTTTCTAAATACATAGAACAATAAATTTTCTGATATATAGCCATGTTGATCATTCCAGGCGCTTTATTTAAATGGGATGTTCAAGGCCTTCGGGGGAATAGACAGCGATTGATTTAGGCTGTATAAAGTATTGGAGACTTATTTTTAAGTGAAAACTGTCAAAAAAACTTTGGAAAAATGCATAAGAACGAGTTTGGGAAATAACGAACACCCTAATGTATATCGGTAAATCCTTGAATCTTCGTGATGTAGTGACTAGTAGCAAGCCGCTAATTAATCATCAATACATAAATTAAGGCATCCTTGAACAGCTGTGAATAAAAATTACAATTCATATTATTATTCAAAAAAAATTAAATATGAATACAGTGAAAATGTAAGAAAAATATACATTTTAACAATTAAAAGTTAACCAAAAAATTTAAAAACTATTGTTTAATTAAATTTCTTAAGCAAAGCAACTTTTGGGGTAGTATTAGATAGGATCGACTAAAATTTTACTAACGAACATGAACATTTTCAGCCGTTAATTTAAAAAATGAAATGAAAATTTTTAATAACTTATTAAAGACTTTTCCACACTAAATAGATAAAATGAAAAGATAAGCAAAACCTGCTATCGCTATGGTACTCAATGCATACGCGTTAAAAAAGTCGAATATTTGTTACTATCAGATGAGGGCTCAGTCACGTTCTCCTCTTCTGCGGCTCTTCAAAGACAAATTTGATAATGACGGGATTTGCACGTTCAGCACATCCACCGTATAGCAGCCCTTTTCATCCCGATGCATAATGCTATACACATTGACAAAATCTAGCAAAGAGAGTGTATATTTGTGTAAGAAACAAGAGCTGCCTGAGCGAGGGTGAACGCACCACTTGTCGTTGCCTCGCGGCCAGGGTTGACTAACTAAATAATATAACCAAGTTTCCCAAACACAAGACCACCTATGAGTTGGTATACTTAGATGCAGCTACCTAAGCGAAGATTATATAAATAACACTTGCTGTGGTGTAGGTTTAGTCCCTGCAGAAATAACGGCTAAGGGTAACTGTCTATATAATTTTTTCGGTTCGTTTACATTGGATAAACGACAAATCAATTGTAAAAACATTTTAATTTTCTATTGATGATGTGTCAGGAGGGGTATGTATCGAGTGTTATTTGTGCAAGTGATAAAAATAATAAACATAATTTATTTAAATCTAATAAAATAATACGGTAGGAATATACGATGGACGCAAATCTCTGATTTGTAAATTTAATATCGTATTTCTGCAACAATATTCTATGAACTTATGGTAAAAAATAAATTAAATTCAGTACAGAATATTTGATTAGGTAGCCTAAAGAGTTACCAAAACAAAAGTGGAAATAAAAATTTTCGTACACGTTTTCCGACAAGTATACAGCAAAAATTCAAAAAAATGAAATTAAACATTTTTATGTGATTGCAATTTTCTGCAGTAAACTGTAAAGGCATACTTCGTACGCCGATACAAGGAACAGACGACACACACGAGATGCACAGAAGCATATGAGCATAGCAGATGATAAGAAAGAGTGAGGCTTATCGATACACACTCGATAATTCGCGGCCCTAAGGTTGCGCACGCAGTCCTTCTCGCGGTGCGCGAGCCACGAGACGAAGTAACAAAAGAAATAGATCACTCGTATTGTTACCGTCGTAGAGTGCAGACGTGATAAGACCCACATAAGAACCGAATCATGGCGATCTTCGAGAGATTTAGACTCATTGTGTCAATGAAAATGAGTAAAATTCAGTTATAATGAATTGGAGAGTAGATATAAAGAAGGTAGTTAAGAATAGAATCAACCATTTTTATGGAAGTCCAAATAAATGAATGATTTTTATTGAGGAAAGCAAAATAGACCTTTTTGACGAGAATGAGAGAAGCAAACAGATCTTCAAGTTTATCATTAAATTTTTAATCAACTGTATACTTTTACGTAAAAATAACATGAATTAAGAATATAAGATTCAAAATAAATATGAGTTGTATTATTTTTCACTGTACCTATTTTCGTTCAACTTTACATAAATTGTTCACATAGGTTCAAAACTTGATACCAGTACTTAAATCATAGAGTTATGTTTAACATGTTCGGCTCAACACAACCAATTAAAAAAAAATTTGTGCAAAAGTGAACCGTTAATCTTATAAATTACGCGTTGAAGCTAAGGAAAGTGCTTAAATTTCCAAAATTTCTTATTTCGATTCCTGAAAAAAATTGTATAGAACTATTACAGTACTTTTTTTAAGTCAAAATTAGAAATTTCTCAAACAATCAAAAGTCGAAAATACCAAATAAGCGTTAGCAAGTGAGGATAAAGCGTTAGTATTAAATATTAAGCGAATATACGAACACGAGAGAAAATAGGTACAGTGACCTTACAATCTGTACACTTTGGTGATAGTTGTCAACATTTTCTTGACACTCTTGACACATTTTCAACTTCTTTTTTCCAAACAGCTTTTTATCAGGATGAATTAAGTCTTTTGCCGTTACGCATAATAATTATTTTTCATTTCATTGAAGCTATCAGAGCTTGTTCTAAGTCTTTGATTAAATCTGAATCAGTTTCAATTCCTATAGATAAACGAATTAGTTTTTCATTTATTTTTAGACGTGCAAGTTCTTCAGCTGGTATTTCCGGAGGGCTCATTAGATAACTATGTAGAACATTATAAGTTAATAATTTAAAAATTTATTCGTTTGAAAAGATTAATACTTACGGCAATTTTGCCAAAGATTCGACCCCACCTAAGGATTCAGCTAAACTAAATATTTTCAAAGCTTTTAAAAATTTATGAGAATCTCCTTTTATATAAATAGAGATCATTCCACTGTGGCCAGTTGTTTGCCTCAATGACAATTCATACTGTGGGTGTGAAGGCATATCTACAATTAAGACCTATTATTTGTGTTTGTTCAGATAAATTATGTTCGTTTAAGTGCTTACATGGATGTAAAACTTTGTCAACTAAAGGATGTTTTTCTAAAAATGCTGCTATCGATAAACCATTTTTCATATGTTGTTGCATTCGCAATTCAAAAGTTTTCAAACTACGACAAACAAGCGAGCAGTCGAACGGAGAAGGAATGATTCCCATAGCTGTAAATAATTTATAAGTACATTTTTTATCAAAAATTTAAATAATAATTAAACCTTTTTGAGCAAGTTTTAATTTATCCGCAATGTCTTTATTATTGGTAACAACAGCTCCCATTATAACATCTGAATGGCCGTTTATATATTTTGTTACAGAGTAACTAGTAGCATCAGCTCCTAACTCCAAAGGTTTCTATAAACAAATGAAATCTTGCAATAAAAGAATAATATTTTTTCTGCTTAAAAAATAAATTTATATATAAAATCAATACCTGGTAATAACACGTTAAAAACGTATTATCGACAACGATCATTGCATTTGGATTAGAACGTTTGACTTTGTCACATACGGCCTTGATGTCTGTCAATCTCATTAAAGGATTGGTCGGGCTTTCGAGCCATATCATCTTTGAATATTCATGAAAAAATATTTTGATCAAATTCAAATTATTTGTAATTGATTAAATTATACCTTAGTATTAGGTAACACAGCGCGTTCTATTGCAGAATCGTCACGAGCATCAACTTCCGTTACTTCAACATTAATACCGGGTAAATATTTTTTAAAATATTCGTGAGTCCCACCATAAAGACTATCGCCGCTTACAATATGATCTCCGGATTTCAATAGAGACATGAGAGCTGTAGTAGCTCCAGTGCCAGAGGAGAAAACTTGGGCATACTTGGCATTTTCTAAGGCAGCTAAACAATTCTCCAGATAATATCTGTTCGGGTTGTCATCTCTTCCATAACAATATTTCTAAAATTATATAAATAATTAAATATTTCATCAGATTTAAAATTTTAAGTCATGATTACCTCAAAATCATTTGGTCCATTTTGAAGAAATGTGCTAGTCATAATTAACGGTTGTACAACATAATTATCTGTTATTTGGCGACCACTGTGAATCGATTTTGTGGCAAAACCTGCCATGGTGATATGCTCTAAAAATTTAGAGAAATAAAATAGTTAGAATTGTTTATAACTGCAATTTATTTTTATCAGAAAATTTTTATTTTATAAACTGAGCTCAGCAAAATCGTGGTATGGCTCCTTTTGGAATTTTTCATTAGTAACGCTTTCCAACGATACATTGGAACAGGGCCGTAGATAGAAAATTTTTTCGGAGAAAGGGTTACTTGGGTTCTTTTGGGTTACTATAAGCAGAAGGTTAAATCAAAAATTTCGGCTTGGGAGTCAGAACCCCCCTGCCCCACTGAGTACGGTCATGCCTTGGAATAATTTTTACATAAAAGGTTTCAAATTTTAAGGGTATATTCTTGGTAACTAGACGCTTTACTGATTACTTTTTTTGTGGGCAAAAAGTACACTTGTGGGCGTTTAATTCGGTTCGCCGCAGAAAACGTAAACACACGTAGTAGGGGCCGCCTGTATGTATAGCATAGGCGGCAATAATAACAATAGTATACGTATGCTATATAGGCACGCCCGGACTTCGCTGTGTTTACGTTTTCTGCAGCGAACCGAATTAAACGCCCACAAGTGTACACCCGCGGACATAGATACTTGGACCTCGAAATATTGAGTTCGATTAGTCGCTTCCTTCACTATGCAATGCACGTAGTGAAACTGTAGTCACGCGCTGTTGTTTGAACAACGTGAAGAAAGCGACAAATCGAACTCAATATTTCGAGGTCCAAGTATCTATGTCCGCGGGTGTACATTATTATGCACTAGGGTGGTTCGCTTTTGCAAAAATGTTCAAAATCGCGTATACGTTATGGCGATTCTGAAATTTCAAGTCTTTACGAAAAGAAAGCCGGGTTCAGAACCTAAAAAAAGTGTCGGGAACCGGTGTCGATCGATTTTTGAAGTTTAAAAACGTGATCCAAAATAGGAGCAAATTCGGTCAACCATTCAATTTATTTCAAACTGTGTTTCAGGAGTAAAAATAATATCGACAATACATTTTCTTACGTATTTTTGTCTGTAGAATCGAATGCCGTAGTCAGTTTTGCTCTACGACTTCGTTTTCATCGATAAAAATGTACTTTTTTGATTTTTTTTCGCTTAAAAATCCAAAAATCGACTTTGCAACGTTTGAAAATGAACAGAAAAAATCTTCGAAAATTTTTGACACTACCAAAATTTAGGATTTTTTGTGACGAATCCGACCGTATACATTAGTATATGCTTTAAAATTATTTTCATTCATAAAAATGCAAATTTTCGATTTTTTTTGGCTGAATTTGACGAAAAATCTCGAAAACGCGCCCTTTTTGAGAGAAAGTGCTCTTAAAAAATCCCGCTGCAACATTTTTTTTTTATTTTTTGCTGTAAAATTGAATGACGTTGCGATTTTGGTCCTAAAACATCGTTTTAGAAAAAAAAGATTTTTTTTCGAAAACATCTCGTTTTCGAGTTTTTTCGTCAAATTCAGCCAAAAAAAATCGAAAATTTGCATTTTTATGAATGAAAATAATTTTAAAGCATATACTAATTTATACGGTTGAATTCGTCACAAGAAATCCCGAATTTTGGTAGTGTCAAAAATTTTCGAAGATTTTTTCTGTTCATTTTTAAACGTTGCAAAGTCGATTTTTGGATTTTTAAGCGAAAAAAAAATCAAAAAAGTACATTTTTATCGATGAAGACGAAGTCGTAGAGCAAAACTGACTACGGCATTCGATTCTACAGACAAAAATACGTAAGAAAATGTATTGTCGATATTATTTTTACCCTCGAAACACAGTTTGAAATAAATTGAATGGTTGACCGATTTTGCTCCTATTTTGGATCACGTTTTTAAACTTCAAAAATCGATCGACACCGGTTCCCGACACTTTTTTTAGGTTCTGAACCCGGCTTTCTTTTCGTAAAGATTTGAACTTTCAGAATCGCCATGACGTATACGCGATTTTGAACATTTTTGCAAAAGCGAACCACCCTATTATGCACTTGCTTCGCACTATTTATGCACGTTTTCTAAATTATGTTAATTTATTAACTGTTGACGTGGAATTTATTTTTAGGAAATGAAATTTTGTGCAACAAATAATTTTATTCTGTTACTATACTTTCTTATCATTCTCCTGTTATCTTTCTTATTATTCTTATCTGCTGATATTGTATTTTCTTATCATTAGTGATACAATCAAATTGACTTGCGAATTTTAAATATTATTATTCAAATAAAATTGGAAATTACAATCAACAACAGCAAATATTCATAATTCTCATGTCAATATTTAATTTAGTGTGTGTGTTAATTAATATAGTTTCTAATTATGACGAATTGTGACTGTCAGTACTGCAAATATAGATAATAATATATCATACGCATATCGCATATACTGCAAAACAACATTGAATTATTTATTTTAACAAAAAATATTATTCGTGCATGGAAGTTGTGTTGAAAAAAATTATTACCTCAAAATGTTCGTTTCAAAACTTCAACTTCACAAATATTTCTTAAATTTAAGCTGCGATACCACAATCTGATATTCAATACCTTACTACGCTTTGTAGCTTACTAAAAATTCTTATCATAGCAATTGAATGTGACACAAATGCAATTGAAAGCAATTTATATTAGTATCCCCACTTCATAAGCGCCCAGATTTAAGCGCATATGATTTCAGAGTGATTTTTCATTCTAGTTACATATAGTTTTCCAAATATCTCATATTTTTTATTTTGATTTTAAAGCTACATTAATTATTATTCAAGTTGAATTTTTCATTAAACGCTCTAGAGGTTTTGTAGAAAAATTTAAAATGATCTGATACTTTCACGAATTGAACCGTTCAAAAAACGTTGAAACTGGCTGTTTTTGGCGATTTTACACATATTTTTTGACGTTTTCTGCGCGTTTTTTGACACTCTTTGATGTCTACAGTCCGTTGATACAAATTAATTGATACAAGTTTTTATTTTTAATTTTTCTATTGCATCAATTTTTGATAAAAAAAATAGGGCTAATGTTAAAAAAACATGCATTAATAAATAGATTGATACAGGAATCACAACTTCCACCTTAAATCGAATTAATTTATCAACCTTTTACATCCATAAAAAAGTTTCTGACACAAACAGCATATTAATTAAAAAAAATTTTAACGTTAATATAAACTGGAAAATGTATACAATCAGCGTATCTAAATAAATATCGCATCCATCTTTTAATGAGTACAAGCCTAATAGCACAAACAAGCATCTTCTCTCTGATTGATTTAACTCACTATATTCTACACTCATATGACAAAGAAACAGAGTGAAAGAGCAAAGATATGTATATATGTAAAACAGTGGGTGAGCGAGAGAGTAAGATTGAACATTTCGACATCAACTTTTGGAACCCCCTTTGGTGGCGAAGAATATAATACGAATGTTTGGCGCGAACACTGGAGCAGCTAGCACCGAACAAAAGAGGCCACTTGATGCGTCAAAAACGTCAGACGCACATATCACGTGGAGCAAAAACACAAGTTATGCTGCTTATATACATTCGTATTTTTTTTTCAACTTGATTAGTAGTAAGCATGCGAGCATGTATGTAGCATCGGGCAAAAGGGAGCGGTGTAGATGTACGCATTAAGAAATGCACGTCAAGAATTTTGACGATTGTACGTGCGCCCAGCCCCTGTCGGTTACACTATACGCTCACACTTTTTTGTTAGCTAAGTTATGTTTAGGGATTACACTTTTGTACGTGTGTCAACATACTTTAAACTGCTATTTTGACGGTGAATTATTCTATGCCTTATTTTAGTTACGTGTTCAACAAGTGCAGTAATGAACACAGAAATGTTTATTTAAAAATCGAATTTAAATAATAATTTTATATTATCAAAATTGATTAAAAGATGCCGAATAGTGCGCAGAAGAGGGAACTCAAGAAAGTCGAGATTTCCTCACGACATAAAAGAGTGTTGTCAAAAAGGCTCGATGCTCTTGTGAGAACTTAATTATCTAATTAATTAACCGCAATCAAAACGATGAGTAATTTCTCGCTCCGTTGGTGCCTTTACCAAAGCACAAAACCAGCATCAACTATCTCGTCGTCTAGCGACTTACGACTGGATTCACGTCAAATCGATTAGACTCTCGGCAAAGAAAATGCCTTAGGGATCTATGGCTTCTTAATGTATGTGTACAAATACTCCTTAGCCTGTTCTTGCCTGATTTCTTCGCTCTGTAAAAGCCAAGTACCAAGTACCCAAGAAGCTCGATTAAGGTATTACAGTAGTTCGAAGGATCAATCAACTGTCATTTGTCATTCCATCGTACTGTCAGCTCTGATGAATGTGTGTACCTCTGCCAAAATTAAATGATAGCTCACTGCAGACTTTAATTAAGAATAATCGTTATCATCGAAATTGTTATCGAATAAAAATACGATTCGATCTTCTTTGAATAAGATTGCAAAATGTATGTGATTCGCACAAAGCTTTCTTGTGACAAGATTTAGAAATCGAATGATATTCACATTTGAAGCTTAAAATAAGTGTAATGCAAAACAGTTTTTCCTCTCGAAATACTTTTGCTTTTTCTACACCGCCAAAATGTCTCTTTTCCGTACAAGACAACAAAGGCGAAAAAAGCTAGGAAAATTTCTTCAAATGAAAGAAGTATAACAAACAGCTCGCGGGGCAAAGTCTAAAAGTTGCGTTACTTTTCGCTCGATATATGTATATGTTTGTAAATGTTAGTTGCGACTACCCTTGCAGTAGCAAATGCTCGACTGTTATAAAACCATAAAGACGTAAACGCAGTTCGCGCGACCGCGGCACTAACTGAGTGCTTTCGACTCTTTGGCATTGAGCCCGAATGAAGGCGCTAAATCGCACTGCAAGTAGCAGTTCCGAGCAATTGCATTCGTGAAAAGTGACTAATATCTTGTTGTGCTTTCTCTCGCGAATATACGTCCACGCCGTAATGAAACGCACACAGGCGCTTTTATTGCTTCAGCGAGCTTCTGCGAGGGAATTTTTAGAGATACGATGTATATTATCACGTACGATAAATTTTACGTGTATAAGAAATTTCGGTTATAATAGCCCTTGCAATATTGAGAGGTAAACTAGCTATACATTTAAACAATTTTCCTAGACAAAGCTGAAAATTGAATCGATCTAGCATGCTGGTGCAAAAAGATATGCCAGATGTTTGTTAGAAATATAGTTATCTTGAATCTCGCACACGCATACACTTTCTGAGCATGCAGATCACTGCACACGTGGATAATACGTAATAATCTCGACCATCAATATGAAATAAGGATTAGAAAAGCTACAAGTATGAGTGGGTGAACATCGCAACAAAATACGCATCGTCGCGTACGAATACGTTGCCAGATGCACGATCGAAGCGAGGCAGAGCATTTATGCGGCGCAAGATGTGTACGAGTGCGTATTATGCGGACTGCGACAATTTAATAAGAGATTTCACGCTCCAACGCGGAATCGACGCCAATCCCCGTGCATTCCTGCTTTTGTCACTTGCGAATGCACGAAAAAATTCCAGATGTCTCTTGGCGCGCTCACGTATCACGCAACCGGACAGACAGCCAGGCAGGTCACGACACTGCGACACATAGCGCCATTTGCCCGACAGAAAGAAGATCTTTCAATGTTGAAGAGCTCGCAGCAATTAATCAGAAGCTCGAGTGACTACGTAGCGTGACTGCTGCAGCGATCTCGCTCAAACCACTCAAATTAATTTCGAGTCTTCTTCTATCCCGTCTTTCACCTTCCGTTTCATCCACCCCGGCCCCAAACTACAACAACACCGCATTGAGATATTATCCCTTGGCGATATTTTTCAGATTTTGCTCCGAAGAAGAAAGTATTCGCGAATTCCTCACTGAAATTATATATCACTGCCTGCATTTATATTTCTCCTGCTTACAAATTATTTTCGAGTGAGGGTTAGTTGTGCAAAATGGCAATAACCGGGACAATTATTATGATATAAACGCTTGACTTAACATGAATAAATGTACAAAGTCAAATCCTATCAGTTGATGAGGAGTAGAATTGATAACTTTACTTTTACCTGTTAATTCTTGTAGAAATTTTCATGATCAATAAATATTTTTGAATAATTATTTAATTTGACAAATGAATGAGTTTATACCACAAATAATAATTTTCTCATTCTTAGTATTTTAATTAGTTTACAAATCAGCACTTATTGAATTAATTTGAAAAAAACATATCTAAAAGAAACATGTCTAAGGGTCTCGTACTCAAATTTAAAAAAAAAATAATTTTTTCTATGACTATGTAAAGTAATTAAAAAAAAAGGGTTTCCTTCGAGCCGGATTTGAACCAGCGACCTATGGATAACCATTCAGTAAATAACCAACTACAGTCCACCGCTCTACCAACTGAGCTATCGAAGGCGATGCAGAGTCATTCGTAAAGAGACTATTTGAATCTTCATTCATAAAAGCGCCATCTGTCGGTAAGTAGAACTTCTTACTTAAAATTCTATGGCATTATGTATTAAGGTTGTTTACTATACATCAATTTTTTTAATTTCTCTTGATTTTGCTAAATTTTGATAATAATTATTTAAAGTATCGAAAAGGTGATATTAGAGATAAATGATTATTATTAGTTATTATAGAATTAACGGTTCTTTTTTAACAAGAAAAATAATTTTAAGGCAAACTTTCATCCTTTCTGTCCGTAAAATGAAACATTGTTAGCTTTAGTATTTGAGATCGCATTAGTCGAGCTCATTGTATTTTTACTGCTTATTGTGTCTCAAACGTCAAAAATTCAATTGAAGACAATTAAAAAAGAAGCAGATAAATTATGAGACAAGTTTTGCGACACATATAAATTAATCAACTGATGAAAATTTATCTAATAAGTTAATTTAATTTTTAGTAGAATGAATCGTTTTCATTTGTTTGTGACAAAAATTATTAAAGCATGAGTACTATATTTATAAATCTAATTTACAAAAAAATAAAAGATATATCCGTGATGGCTGAAAAAATACGATCACGTCGTAAAGCGATCGTAAATGCATCAAACCCTATTGCAAGTTTATACGCCAAAGCACATTAAACGATCAGTTATAAAAATCTGAATTTTTTAATTTTTAAGCATCACATAATTCTAATACATAAAACATCATCCAATGCGAGTCCTGCCGTACGACATATAATGCGCTCGGCTATACATAAGCTCACCACTTGCGCCCGTGAAATGGGCCACTTCCTTTACGACTCTTGGGGGCTAAAGACTTCAGTCATGCAAAGAATTGCGTGTCAAGGCTGACTATGATATGTTCAAAATTTTATGTTTACCTCAAGTGTATTATATATGTACATATATTCAAAGCGGTATACTCGCCAATCACCATTAAAAGCTCATAGATTTTTGTGGAAGCTTTTCACGACTCGATACAGTTTACATTTTAACCTATAAGGTTACTCTTTGGATTCCCCTGTAATGTTCACAGACATCTTCCTATTATTATAGCTGCAGAAAGATAGACGGTGAATACTGCGAGCTACAG